GATCTAAAAAATTAGTAAATTTTTTTTACTAATTTGAATTAGTGAACAAATTATCGTCAAATTTTTTAGAGAGTACGGTAAATTAAAAAAAAAATTCAGTTATTATTTTTTCTTAGCATAGCAATCATAATAAATTTTTTCTCATTTCTGTAAATAGCTTTTATTAAATTAAAGAAAAGCCTTAATTTGTCCAGGAAAATAAATTGCAGGCCACTAAAATTATATATATATATATATATATATATATATAAACCCTTATCATTATTTTATACGAATCTAGTAAATTTGAAAAGATCAGACACAAATTCCCTATAATATTCCAAAGGAGCGTTTTGTACGCGTATGGGAAGCAATAAAGTCTCAAGGATATTATCTTTGCTCAGCCAGAAAAGAAAAAGAATTGTTTGAAGCGATTTTAGTTTGAAAGTAGTGTGGAGGAAGACTTTTTTGGTAGAGTATATATATATTCTCTTCGTCCACAATTCCAATGGACATTGCATGAAATTTGGGGTTCTCTATTGCAAATCCCTTTTCGCAATGAACGAGATAGAAATGGAGGATGAGAAGAAGAAACGTGGTTCCCTTCGGTAAACTGAGTTCAGTGCTACGTAAACCCTCATGGGGTTTGTCTGCAAAATGAAGAACGAGAGCGAGAAGGACAAAGGCGAATCAGAAGAGAGGAAATGAGCTCGATAGATGACTCTTGCAAACACAGACAGTGTATATGGACTTCATATCTCTCCTTCTCTCTCTCTCTCTCTCTCTCTCTCTCTCTCTCTCTCTCTCTCTCTCTTTTTTTCTCTTTCCCCAATGGATAGAGTCTACTTGGTCGAGCTCTTTTGGTCCCCCTAGGGGCAACTTTTGAATATGCGAACTGGACCCACACAAAGAGACCATAAAACTACTCTTACAGACCAACTGGGAATAGTTTGAGTTGTATTAAGTCGAGAGTCATCACAAATCTTGAATTTATCTCTCCACTCACGTTATTTTTTTTCTTTTTATCAATTTTAATGATCTGATTTTTGAAATTTGTAGAAACATTACCAAAAAAAATATATTTTTACCCTCAATCTACTAGACTCGGTCTCACAGACATACGCTCTTATTTAATTTTCGATACTTCAATACCAAAATTTATCATTCATTTTTGCAATACAAAGGTTATTTTAGAAAAATAACTTTCTTTTTTTTTCCTCAAAAAAATATTATTTTTGCTAAATCAAAATCACAAACATGCTTTATATTTAAATTGATTTTTTTTTCTTATACGCGTAAGAAAATGAACGATATAATTTTTATAACTTTGTCTCATTATGATTCCCAGAAGTATACTTTGGGAAAAGAAAAAAAAAAAAGAATAGAAAATCTCCTATTTTAAAGAGTCTTTAAAGCTCGTCTTTCCACTCTCTTCTTTTGTATACACTCACTTTCTTTAAGAGCAAGCTCTCTCCCTTTAAGCTTTCAAGTAGAGCTTATAATGCAAGAACTTGTACTTAACAACTTGAAAGCTTTTGAATAAGATGGAATTTTATAAAGTTTGGATGAAAATAATTGGTGAAAGTTTTTTATTTTTAATCCGTGATCCAATTCGAACTGTACTTGACTCATTTTTCGAAAATGATAAAAACCACTTGGCGAATTGTATTATAACTACAAAGTGAATATTTTGAAAATTTCTCAACATCATTAAATTTTACTGCAATAAAAAATTATAAGTTTTTGTGTACTTTTAAAATTAATAAATATTCTTATTTTTTTTTTTTTTTTTTTGAAAAGAATAAGAAACATCAAATTATAGGAATATTCAAAAAATTAACTTAATTTTTTATTTAAAAAAAAATTAATTAAAATAATAAAATTAATGCTAAATTCTCAAAATTAAAAATATTTACTTCATTTTATGCATGAATGAGCATTATGTAGAAAAGTTTACAAAATGCATGCAATGTTAAAACAAAATTATATTCCATGTACTTTGCATTTAATTTATTTTTATATATATATATAGTCCAAAACAAAAATGTTAAATATTTATAAATTTAAATTCCACGATTATGAAAATTAGAAGTAACCTTTTAAAATTTATTGCATTAATATATTTTTATTATATAATTAATACTTCGTTGTTTTTCATTTGTTAAATAATACAATAAAAAAATATAATCGAAAATGAATTTAGATATTTTTTAAAAATAAAAGTTGTGATTCTTTTTTTTGAATTGTATAGACAATGTAAAGGGTCAATATATATACATAACCATCAGGAGGTGCAACAGGACCACAGATATATGGCCGTATTCTCCTACGCCAATATTATACCCTGTGGTTCAATCGAGAATTCTGGTCTTTGCCAAGACACAGAAACTCTCTTGAACATTAAGCAATGTACGTGCGAAACTAGTGATTGCCTCAAACTAATCTTGTTTCACACAGAATTATCACTAAAGTAAACATCACGCGCGCACAAAAATATAAATTAAGCTTGAAATATAGTTTATTTGCCGATGAAAGCAATTTTTTTAACTTTCTGATAAAATAAATTTTTCTTAAAAATTAAAATTAATCTAAAATTAGGCCAAATATAATAAAAAAAAGAGAGAGAAAATTTAAATATTTCACGTTTCTATACAACTTTTGGTACAATTTTAATATTTTCTATACAGTTTCTGTATAGCTGAACTATCCCGAAACTAGCTAGAGATTGTAACATTACGATCCAACAAGTTTCTAGATACTTAAACTATGTGGAAACTATCTATTGTATCTAGATTTTTCTGGAAAGATCAATAAAGTTGTACTATCTAGTTTCTGGATAGTCAACTATATAGAAACTGTTTAGATTATTTAGAAAAAAAGGGAACACATATTAGGTTAAAAAATTGATTACTTCGGGATAATATTACAAGTTTCTGTTCAGTTACAGTATATAGTTGTACTGTTTTCTACAAATTATACTTATACTATTCTGAAACTAGATAAAAATACAATTATACTATCTAGTTTCCATCTCGTTTCTATCTAGTTTTTATTTAGTTTTTATTTAGTTTCTATTTTAATTTCGATTCTAGTTTCTATATAGATCATTTAGAAAGGTCAGTAGAGTTATACTATCTAGTTTCTATCTAGTTTTCATCCAGTTTCTATCTAGTTTCTATATAGATCATTTAGAAAGGTCAGAACAGTTATACTATCTAGTTTCTATCTAGTTTTCATTCAGTTTCTATCTAGTTTCTATATAGATCATTTAGAAAGGTCAGAACAGTTATACTATCTAGTTTCTATTTAGTTTCTATCTAGTTTCCATCCAGTTTCAATCTAGTTTCTATATAGATAATTTAGTAAGGTCAGGACAATTATACTAACTAGTTTCTATATAGATTATTTAGAAAGGTCAGGACATTTATACTATCTAGTTTTTATCTAGTTTCTGTCTAGTTTCAATACAATTATAAATTGATTAAAAATCAAATTAAATTATAAAAATCTTTTGATGATAAATAATAAATTTTAATTTCGAAGGAATATTTTAAATGTTATCGAAAGAAAATTAAGAAAATTGTGCCTTTATACCTGTTTCTGTTTACAAGTAAAGACAATTGTTTATGTTTACATTGTAATACAAAAGGATTGTCATTAAAATCCGAAGAAGATAATATAATTTCAAAGGAAAATTAATTGTATCAATTTGGAAAATTGTCCCTTTATACCTGTTTTTGTTTACATTAAAGTACAAAATATTGCGGTCATTAGAACTCAAACGTCATAAAATCCCAAAAAATAATTTTTAATCAGTTGCAATTTATGTATTGACCTGTTCAGACAAGCTCAAAGTTGAGAGCTTAAATCTTTTAATTTGTGAACGAAAATTTTTTTTTCTTTTTTGTTTCTTGTTAAAAAGTTTAAAAGTTTTTTTTTTTTTCTTTCGGGAGTGTAGGAAATTGTTAAAATCGTGATCGCATAAATTTTTAGAAAAAGTATTTTTTTTTTTTTTTAATTTTAACAAAGTGTTTGGAATTTTTTTTTAATTTTCTGTGTGTTTCTTGCAGATCTTATCGTCCAAAATCATCAGTTGCAGACTAAGGTTAGAGATATGATTTTTCTTATGTATAATAATTGCATGCAATTCTTATGAGCATTAAATATTTAAGAATATTAACATATTACAGCAAAAAAAAAAAAAATTATTTACGAAAAACAAAACGTGGTCCACTCATGACTACATTCCCCTAATTTAGAATTTTTAAATACAATTAGTAAAATAATACACAAATGCAGAGTGACTAAATGTAAAATACATTGGAGAAGAGAAAGGGAGAGAGAGAGGGGGGGGGGTATGAATAACTTGGAAAATTTACATGAAAAACACATTTATACTATCAAGTCCGTGAAAACATAATAATTTTAACAAGTACTTCCTAAAAGGAAACGAGAATTATTTTTGCCATGGCAAATTTCTAGTGAAGTTATAGTGGGACAATTACCTCATTGCAGTAGGGACAAATATATATATATATATATATATATATATATATATATTTGTAGAGTGAAGTGCCTGCCTGGAAACTCATTGCGGTGAACAACGTAAAGGGTACGAAGGCAACAGAAATTCTAATCAGCTAGCTGCAAACTGAAACATCTAACAGAGCTATCAGAGAGAGAGAGAGAGAGAGAGAGAGAGAGAGAGAGAGAGAGAGAGAGAGAAAAGGTGGATGACTGCCTCAAGCCTGAAGCGTCATAACAGGAAATGTTCTCTGCCAGTGAGCTCTTGCATTTGACCCCATTAGATTCTCAGACTCCATTATCTTCCTCGAAACATATTATTCTTATTCTTATATTTTATATAATTATTGCTTCATATTTTTCCCTCTTTTCTATTTATTTTATTCTGCCTAATTTATTTCCCTTTTTATTAATAATTTTTAATATTATTATTATTATTATTATTATTATTATTAATTATTATTAATATTAATTATTATTAATAAAAAAGAACTCACCTTCTTGTACCTGCCACTTCGACTACTTTGCATCGACTTCGACTCCACCAAAATGGCGTCAATGTCCAATAGGAACTACTTGCACTTCTCGCCCAACCTTCTTCTGGAAATAGAAGTACCTGCAATCAAAAAAAAATTTTATTTTTTATTTCATATTCGATTTGTTTTTAAATCTAACTAAAAATAATGGGTAAAAGTTCTTTTAATTCATTATTAGTGCATGGAAAAAAAATTGCCACCTGGAACAGGTGTGTTTGTTTCATTTCGATTATGTTTCATTAAAACAGCGAAATAGTTTTCGTTATTCTGGAGAAACATTTCCCTGTTCCAGGTAAAGATTTTTTTCCATGTGCAAATGTGGGTCAATATTTGGTATTAGTATAGAAAAACTACATTTTCAGTCGGAGAACTTTTATAAGGTTTTCAAATCTTTGTTTCAGTAGTAAAAGTAGATTTCAGTCAGACAGAACTCACGAAAAAAAATTTTCAGTAGTAAAAGAATATTTTAATGTAAACGTTATTATAATTCTTTGATTTTTTTGAAATTAGTAATGAATGATATTTCTAATAAAAGAAAACGTTTAAATTCTTTTGAATTCTATAACAGTAGTAGCAGACAATTATAGTCAGACATTCATTTCAATTCTTAAAATATTGATATTATTAGTTTACAGGTGGACAAAACTTTTTAAATTTCCTTTAATTCTAGTGACTTGACAATTTTTTTTTTTTTTAAATCTTTCTTAGCAGTGGAAAACAGTTTTTAATTCTTTATTTTAATAACAGTAGTAAAAACCAAATTGAGTCAGACAAACCTCATTTTTAAATTCTTACGATTCTCGTCTCAGTAGTAAAGACATATTTAAGTCAGCCAAACATAGTATGTATACACTCAGAGAAATGGTATTATGTGTCTTCGAGCCTACTCATTTATTTGTTTGCAAATATATTTTATTTCATTTAAATAAAAAATTTATTTGAGCCAAAGAAAAATTTATTTATGACAATAAAAATTTTTATTTACGCCAAATAAATAAGGCTCTGAGGCAAATGTACGTTTATTTAATATATATATATATATTTTTTTATTTGGTTCAAATAAAGCATTTTTTCGAGTGTGACAATAGTAAAAAAAAAAAACGCTTTTTGTTTGTTACTATTAAAATAGTAGAAAAATTTATTTTTAGTCAAAAGTAAATTTCTCTTTAAAAAATACTTTCCACTTGCTAATAAAATTGTGCGTAGATAAGAATAAAATGGAATTTATAAAATCGCATTCAATGAGAACAAAAGAGAATTCTTACTGATATAATATCACCACTTGATTTTCTAGAGCAAAAAAAAAGGGGACTATATAGATATGAGAAAAATTGGGTGGGAACGGCCCTCTTTTTCTGATGTGACCGGGAAGAGAAAAAAAAAAGTCGATAGGGAATTCCCCGAGGAATCTTGTGCGAGAGCACAGGCATGCTTTTCGAGGAGAAAAAAAAAAGAAAAATAAAATGCATAAGGTTGCGAAAAGAGAAAAGCTGTCGAGGGGTTTGTTTCTGGTGATGGTAAAGTCAGCGACGCTTGAGTTAGGGTTGTCGAAAACGAATGTCTTGTTCGCCATTCTGTGTCACGAAAAAAAAAAAGAAAGAAAGCTTTTCACCTCTTTCCCTATTTTTGCCTGCGTATTTTTCTTTCCCTTTTTTCTCTCTCTCTCTCTCTCTCGCTCTCTAACATCTACTTTATAATGCCACTCGCAAGAAATCGTTGCATATGTTTTTTTTTATTTTCTTCAAATCATTTTCAAGTGCTGGCAATTTTTTATAATTAAAAATATATTTTTTAATAATTGAAAATTATTTCAATTATAAAAAATATATTTTTTAATAATTAAAAATTATTTTAATTATGAAAAATATATTTTTTAATAATTAAAAATTATTTTAATTATAAAAAAAAATATTTTTTAATAATGAAAAATATAATTTTCATGAGTGCCAAAAAAGAATAAATTTTTTTCTAATTCGTCTTTTAAGTATATCAGTGGTGAATGTCAGTTTATAGTCAGGCAAAATGTGTGCGTGTGTGTATCTGTAATAAAATTGAAATGTATAAAAAGGCGTAAAGGTGCTTTTTTATTATCACTTGAAGTGCACCTCCCTACTACAGTCTTCAATTTACAAAACTTTCGAACGTAAACTGTTCCCCTTAGTTTTAAAAATTTACGATCGATATCAAGTACTCTTTAAATAAAGAACACACACACAAAAAAAAAGAACGATTGAAAATGTGAAAAGTGCCACCGGTTTTTATTATCGAATGCGCGAACCTTTTTGATGTTATTATTTTATTCTCGTATAAAACTCTCTTGTCTGCCAGTAAGACCAGATCGCAGATGAAAATCCTCTCCACACTCAGAAAAAAATTTGTTTGACGCAACCAAATTTTGGTTAAATCAACAAAATAAATATATACAGTTAACCAAACATTTGGTTGCATAAACCAAACGTTTATTTAGCTCAATCAAATTTTTTCTTTGTTCAAAAAATTTATTAAAATAAACCAAACAGTTATTTAGATCAAATAAATATTTATTTGAATTAAACTAAATTTTGTTTAAACTAACCAAAAAATTGGGTAAATATAAAAAAATGGTACATTTCGTTCAAACATATATTTTTTCTGAGTGTTGGTAGCACAAAAATACACGAGGTCTACATCCAGAAAACAGATTTCTTTGAAATAAAGAAATTATTTTTTTAAACATCACTTTTTGAATTAAAGATATTCTTAACCTAAAAAATTTCTTTGATTTAAAGAAATTATTTCTTTACTTGTTTTTCTTTTTTGTTGTCTCGAAGAAAAATTTCTTTGATTTTACGAAATGTTTTATTTGAATCAAAGAAATATTTCTTTGAGGCAACAAAAAAAAAAAAAAAAAGTAAAGAAATAATTTTTTTAAATCAAAGAAATTTTTCTTTGACCCTATAAAAATGAACAAATTTTTTTTTATTTAATTACTAATTTTATGTTAAAAATTTCTAGTTTTTAATTAATTTAGAAATACTGTTTGTTCGAGAAAATTTACTTCTTAATACAGTGAATGGGAATATTTCCAAGAACCATAATTTTCGTTGTCTGACTTGTATTTAGAGTAAAAGGAGAAGGAGGAACCATATAAACTTGTACATGGTTAGGAGAAGTCTCTTGTATATATATATACAAAATTGAAACTTTCTTGTACGTATATTCAATCTATATATATATAGAATTTAAAAAAAGAGTTAAAATTTATATGCGGATATTTCACCGAGTTCTGCAGTGGTGCGCACTTGACTGCAGACCTGCAATATTCGTAATTGCAAGGAAAGTTCTCACAGGATGAAGTGGGTAATCCCCTAATTATTTTCACTTACTGCCTCCGGCTCCTCATTTTAGAATTTAGACTTTGGAGTACAAACACACTACATGTATATACACACATATATATAACTTGCGCATCTTCCAAGGAAATTTTCCCTCCACCTTCATTCTTGTCTTCATATTTCATTTTCCTTTACCCCCACCCTTTTTTTTTCATCAAATTTTCAAGAAAATTGTTTCTTCTCTACATTAAAAATTAGTGAAAATGAAAACAACTTTTTTCAAATTGCATACAATAATTCTTAATTTAAGACGGAAATAAGACTTAATTAAAATGGAAATAAAAATTAGAAGAAGTGAAAGTGAAAATTAAAAATAGTGGGAACGAAAGTGGAAGTGAAAATTGTTTTGAACTCTTAAAAATTTATTTGAAATATTTATTTCATTGTTTTGTATTTTTATTTTACGTGATTATAAATTTCATAATGTATATTGTATTTCAATTTATTTAACTGTCAAAATATGACGTTTAATTACAATTTTTGAATGTTGAAACATTGTGAATAATGAAGTTCATTAATGTCTTAAATTTCAATGTTGACTTCTAAACTAATTATCTGAAAATACACATTGAACGTATAACATTGTTCGTGAATATAATTGAGATAAATTTAATTATAATAGAGGTTGAATTTAGTCTATAAAATAGAAATTCCTTTTTTTTGGGGGGGGGAAGGGGGCAGAGGGATAATTTGAATAGTTTCATAATTATCATTATTTCCCCTTGCAATGATATAGTATTATGTTTCATTCATTATACGATTTTCCAAACCTGTTTTACCTTATTTCACCTTAATCATATTTCCAGCATATCCACTCGATTCAAATTCGCAATTTCATATCCATTTCACTCTCTATCTCTCTCTCTCTCTCTCTCTCTCTCTCTCTCTCTCTCTCTCTCTCTCTTCTGCAAAACCGATATTCACTAGTTTCATTTTTTACCTTTATTTATTTTTGCAATATATGAAAAATTTAAATTTCTTTTAGAAAAAAAATTAAAAGAACCTCTGTAAATTCAATAATAAATTTGTTTTTCAAAATTTGCAAAACACTTTTTTCAAAAAAAAAAAAAGAAAGGTAATTTAAATTTCCAATTTTTATTTTGATTGAACAATGTTGAGCTTGAAAGAATCTTTCAAAATATTTTTAATCATTGAAGAACCAATTTTAAAGTCAAATTTCCAATAAAATAGAAAATGTCTACTCCAAGAGTGAAAGAGTAAATTTTGTCACCCTCGGGGAAATTTCAACGGAATGACATCACTAGATTAAGAAGTTCGGCAAGCAAATTTCATGGAAACACAACTTACGCTTGATCACTATTTGCTTTTGTCTATATATTTATCCGAACAAAATGTGTGTCTCAAATAAAAATAAAAGAAAAAAAAATTCAATTTCCCACAAATAAATAAATAAAAGTTTTCCTTGATTCAAATTTTTTTTTTTTTTTCGTAAAAGTAAAGATTTTAAAAACAAAATTTTTTAATTCAAACAAATTTCATCTTTGATTCAAAAAAGCGATTTCTTTATTTCAAATAAATCACTTTTTTTCTGGGTGTATTGACATTTCGTTGATTAAAGTAATTAATTTAATTTTCTCTTCTTTAATAATAAATTAAGTTTGTCTCTTTCGATTGGATAATAAAAAAAAAAAAAAGTTTAATCTCTTTCCAATCCCGTTTTTGTTATTTTATATATAAAAAAAAGT